AACATCGAAGTGAAACTTTGAAACCTAATAGAAAAGATTCTAAAACAAACAATTTACGTAAGAAGGTAGATATGTAAATGTAAATAACTGTAATGCACCTGTTATGTTATAGTTCACTTACGTTTATACTTACCTATTTGTACTTTCTATGTAGGTATGTATTTTGACTATTTGCCTTGCCAGTTAGCCAAAGACCACCCTCGTGATGAAAAACTCAACCATGCCAGTGGCTATTCGTCACGCGGTCACACCACCATTAATTTCTATAGAAAAATACATTGGTGCTTTTATAGCTCTTTCGATAACATCAAAACCACATTAGAGCCGTTTTTCTTGTCAAGTTTCTCAATCGTGTGAAAACGTAGTAGGTACTGTAAGAATTCAAACGTTAACATTAAAAAGGAATTTAATAAAATACCTACTAACATTTCAAACTATCGGCACGCCAAAGAAGCGCTAAAAATAATAAAAAATAAGTTAATCTAAAGAAAAGGCAAATTCAAAGAAATGCTTTGATAGACTCATTAAATTTAATCAATGATAATATTTTTAAATTGCTTTTTATGGACCAAATTCAATAAATAATAATCTTATATCATCGCGGCGATGTCGCGCAGCCTACTTAGTCAGTAGGCATCGCCGCGACCGCACACGCTGCTCATGAAGAGTTAAAGGCCCGTGCCAGCTAAATTTTGTGCGACAGTCGCCGACAGTCCCCGTCGTCCGGTCCCTAACGCGCATGATGGCATCCACCGGGGAGCGCCCTCTACGGAAGCAGAACTGGCCGTCCGACAAGTCCGGCCCAATATCCGACAGGTGCGCGAAGAGGTGGTTCGAAATAATTCTTTCGAAGACTTTCCCCACCTCGTCAAGCAGCACTATGGGCCGGTACGTGGACGGAGACTCCGCAGGGCGCCCGTCTTCCGCACGAGGACCAATTTATTCGCTTTCCAGAGCAGCGGGAACTGGCTTCTCTCCAAGCATGCACTGTAGAGACCAATTAATCGAGGCCAGAGAGCCTCTGAGGCTCCCATGCATTGCCATGCATGCGGTACCTGGGGCGGTGTTCTTGGCGCCCATCCGGCGCACCGCCGCTCTCAATTCTGCCTCGGTCACCTCAGGGACGATGTCATCATCGTCGTCGCTATAGCTCGCGTCGGGCACCGCAGGGGGCAGAGTCATGCATCTCTCGACGGGCCTCCTCCTTGGCCCGCAATATTTCCACCTTGAGGACGGCCTTCGCCGCCCTGTATTCCTCGAACAAGTCCGCCTCTCTCGCCTCCGCATTCGGAGGACGGATACGGCGCCTGTGGTGCCTAGTGTACTGGCGTCGCGCAGCAGTGCACGCCTTGCGCAGAGCTGCTAGCTCTTGCGACCACCAGTACACCTGGCGCTTTTGTTGCCTCTATCGGATCCGGGGCATCGCCACGTCACAAATCCTGGACATGGCGTCCTGGAGCCACTTAGCCTCATCGTCTATGTCGGCAGGCCCAGGCCTGCACGATTGCGGCTTCCATGAAAAGCTCCCGGTCCATCTGTCTCAGCGCCCAACGTGGGCCACATGGGGCCTGTCTGATCGGCGGGTCGGCGGACTCGGTGGAAACGCTAAACCGGATATACCGGTGGTCGGAGTACGTCTCAACCTCCTCCATGACGCGCCAGTGAACGACACGCGGTAACAGAGCAGAGCTAGCGAACGAAATGTCCACCACCGACTCACCCTGCATCCGCACGCACGTGGGGACAGAACCCCGGTTCAGGACGACTAGGCCTGTCTCAAATGCCCAGTCTTCCACCATCCTACCCGGGACGTCGGTGAACCGGGAACCCCAAGCCAAGTTTTTGGCATTGAAGTTTCCAAGGACGAGCACGGGGAGGGGACGGAACCCGACGATGACGGTGACCAACTCCCTCAAGGAGCTGTGGAACTCGGCGAGAGTTCGGTTCGGAGAGAGATATACGCCCACCACAGCGAGCTCTCCGAACCGTGCTACGACACAATCCCGGTCTCTTTGAGCAGCCTCAACAGTCGGGGTACCGGCGGATGTTATAGGTACTTACGAAGCTATTCTGAAATGCTGTTGATTCCTAACACAGACTAACAATAAATAAGCAGACCAAACATAAATAGGAGTTGCAGTGGAGTTTCTTGTTTGCATAGGAATCTACACCTTGGAAGGAGCAAACAGCTTCACAATTATTTTTTTTATTGACGTTCAAAAGTGCCTTCCTGGTTTAATTGAAATAAATTATTTTGACTTGACTTTGACTTGACTTGACTTTGTCCTTGTTCTGTCAATAACTAACCTAATAATGGCGTCTCGTTATTTGACCTGTAGCCACACTGCTACACACATAGACAAATTTTGATATGAAGCCAGTTTTTCCATGTCGCCATATTGATAAGCTTTTACCTACAACTGTGCCAATCATGTTCATACTTCTAGTATTCGTATGGCCGACCTGTTTGTAAGATGAACAAACCCTCCATAATCAATAAAGGATTATTGTGTCAATCTCGTTTTTAACCGACTTCAAAAAAAGAAGGGAGTTCGCCGATATCTCCGTTATTTATGAACCGATTTTGATAATTATTTTTTTGTTGGAAAGGAAATAGTCCCATGATAAGGAAATCAAGATCTGATGATGGAAGACCCGGGAAACCGCGGGCAACTTATAAAGTTATAGCGGTGACTAGTGCATTTGTTAATTTGTTCAAAGTATTAAAAATTACTACAATCTGATAAAGGTATGGAGTCGATTTGATGATGGAGCCGAGAGCCAGTTGAGGGAACTCCTTAACAGTTAACAGTAGGTATTTTTGTATTGTAACTTTCGTGAAACATACTAAATAAATTATTATGTTTTCCGCTTACTCAGTAGCAGCGCGACCGTCGCCGCGTCGCGGGTCGCGAAATGCTGCTCATGAATATGAGCCTCTAGCATGGCTTGAAACTGGTCGAATTCCTCGTCGAATTTCAACGTGAGTAAGCCGAAAACATAATAATTTATTTAGTACCTATTTTGTGTTTGGGTTTCATTAATTTGTATTGATGAGGACTTTACACCTCTATGGGGTGTGATTGTCAATAAGGGTCCGATGATGAAGTAGTACGATAGTTGATGGAACTCCTAAACGGTTAACAGTAGCTATCTTATGTTTGGGATTGATTAATTTGTATTAAAAAGGACTTTACATTTAGGTGTGGTGTGATGGTCTTTAACCTGTTGAAATATCGTCCCCTAAATTTTTTCATACAAAAGTAGTCTCCAAACATCGGAAATAAGATCCATAATGTTGTTTGTGGAGAGCGGTCACCGTTGAGTCAACGGCGTTGACCGCTTGGGGATGAATGATTAAGGGTCTGATGATGAAGTAGTACGATAGTTGAGGGTACTCTTTAAAGGTTATCAGTAGCTACCTTGTGTTTTGATTTGATAATTTGTATTGATAGGGACTTTACATGGGGGTGATGGTCATTAAAAGTCCAAAGTAGTGTGATAGCTAAGGGAACTTCTCAATAGTTAAGAGTAGCTACCCGGAGTTTGAGCTTGAATAATTTGTATTGATGAAAACTTTACACCCACGTAGGTTTTTATAACCTTTTTTTTTGTAAAAAAAACCATGTAGGTTGTGTATAATATAATGGTATATCATAGTAAGAAACTAAAAAGTATAAAATAAAATAAAAAACTGCGTTTAAAAAAACCAACTTCAAAAACTAAGACAAACGAAATATAAAAGTAAAAAGGCAAAAATAACTATTATTGGTCATACGTACTTATAGCTTACACACCCACTATAAACTATTCAATTCCGCCATTCTCGAAGGAACTACGCCGAAAGCAAGGCAAAGGAGTGAAGTGGTTCTGTTCTTCAAGAACACTCCTTATTGAAGAATAGACCCATCTCCCTACTGAGCCATTTATTTAAGCTGTATTAGTCATCACGAACCATCTCAAACGCAGGTTTGATGATGACTTCCAGCCTCCCGAACAAGCCGCGTTCCGGAAAGGCTTTAGCACTATAGACCACATTCATACGCTGCGGATAGTTAATTATAATGTTAGCTAATGTTTGGTCTGCTGTTCCGAGTATATCTGTGGTTCCTTTATCTTGTATATAATATTTCGATACTGGGCATTTCGTCAGACAATACAGAAATTGCAATTCAATTCTGCAGCTGTAAATGCCAAATGCCATTTAGCGCCTGTCTACAATGTGTAGAATAGAAAACCAAATAATATGGAATTACTCTCTATAAACAAGCGCTACAGTGGCGTTTGACTAAAGGCACTGTGCCTTTAGCCAAACGCCACTTTAGCGCTTGTCCTGCGCAGAGAGAATAGAGAATTAAATGTATGGGGATGACACTGACAAGTGTCAAAATTTACGTGGTTTTCTATTCTACACGTAGACAAGCGGTATATGGTACTTGGCTACAGCCGCTGGTCTTTTACAATGCGGAAAAAGTGTTACCAAGTACAAGACATACTTCAACTTTATATTTTATTGACTGTTCAAAAATCAATGATTTCACTTTGACATGATTTTGCTGGTGTGTGTGTGCTGTATGACTGTCACTGATATGATAAGAAAATCTATCGTGTGCTGTACACTGATATGCTAAGAGTATTACGAACAATAAATAACTATAAAATTATTTTGTTAGAATATCTTCCTTTGATTATGATTATGATTATAATTATGATAACATCTTCTTTTATTTGCATGACATAGACCATAAAATAAATACCTATATCATTTCGGCATTTTTATAAAGATGTAAATAACCGTCTGTTTCATTGATTTTAGATACATCGGTCATTTATTTTCATCATTAAATAGACAACTTATCTTATGAGAATTAACTTTGAATGAGCAAAAGTACAAATTAAAGATAAAAATACTTGTACCCAAACTTCTTTCCGATATTATGACAGTGACACAGGCAATCTGTCAAAGTCAGTGACTTTTGACATTGACATTCTATCACATACAAAAATACAAACAGTGAAATTCAGACTTTCAGAGATTCAGCCAAAAATCAAACCAACACAACTTTAACTTTACTTGGATAAAATGCGGGTTAAATTAAATTTGCTGAGAAAACACTTACATAAGTGGCCAAGTCGGGTAGTTGTTGCGTGGTTTAGTTGGTTAAACCCATTGAACTATTTCCGGTCACTTAAGTTCCGTAGTTTTAGAAAATACCTTCTTTTGCAGTAAGTCGATGTCGTCAGAATTAGATTCAGTTTCTTTCTTTTACATCCTGTAGTCCGGGCAATCAGACGTAAATCTTGGTAAGTATTTTTATTTAAATAAACCTAATACTATTAGAACATATGAACACTGTTATAGCTATGGTTCTTTTTCTATCAATTTATTTTCACATAAATTTTAGAGAGAAAGAAATATACCGACATTTAAAATGTTAGTTCGATAAATAAATTTATTAACTACAAATAATTTTTATTTTACTTACTTTAATGTGTTTGAAACTTTTTATGACCCTTTCTATAATATATAATTAAATAGTAAGGTTTATTATACTTTTATGGTATCAGTTACTTACAATAAGTTTTTAAACTGTCAAACACCAAGCGGTCACCGGCGACTGCAACCTTATTGTTCTATAATGGTGTCTATAGTGACGGTACTCGACAAGTTAACTGATTGTGCAATAATTTGTTTTTATTGCTTAGGTACCTAGTAATAATACAATAAAATTATCATGGAATAAGGAGAAATTACATCACATAAATATTTTTAAAAGTACCTCCACTCTTAAATGTTCTTATGACATTTCCGATTATGCCTGCACAAACATATCAGTGCTAACATATGTATTTGTGTGTTTAGAAGATGGGTCGTCGTAAAGGTAAAGGGGGCAAAAAAGCTGCCCCTTCTTCAGGCGAGTCCAGTTCCACCCAGCAACCAGGCCCCTCAGGATTAAGACCTGGTTCAAAAAACCCACCAACCACAGGAGCTGATCCAAAAAGTCCACCAGCCACAGGAGCTGATCCAAAAAGTCCACCAGCCGCAGGTCCTGGTCCAAGAAGCATATCAACTGCGGGACCTAGTCTAAAAAGCCAGCCTACTGAAAGACCTGGTCAACAAAACCCACCAGCCCCAGGACCTGGCCCAAAAAGCTTATCAATTGAAAGACTTAGTTTAAAAAGCCCACCTGCTGATAGGCCTGGTCTACAGAACCCACAAACCCCAGGACCTGGTACAAAAAGCTTCTCAACTGCAGGACCTGGTCTAAAAAGCCCACCTGCTGAAAGGCCTGGTCTACAAAACCCACAAACCCCAGGACCTGGTACAAAAAGCTTCTCAACCGCAGGACCTGGTCTAAAAAGCCCACCTGCTGAAAGATCTGGTCTACAAAGCCCATCAGCTGCCAGACCTAATCCACTAAAGCCACCAGCCAGTATTCAATCTCCAGTCTGTCCACGTCCTGCAGAGGTGAAGGATCCCAGTCTTCTACAAGCAAGCAAGGCTGGGCATAGAGCAGCACCATCAGTCCGTGAACAACATCCTGGTAATGTAGATATACAACAGAAATTATAATCAATGCATATAAATGAGCTGTTTAGTAAAAAATATAATATAAAATATAATATAATTATAAAGAATCATTTTAATAATTCAATGTTTATCCATTTTTAGGTAAAAAACAAACTGCTGGTACTGAATCTGGGCGTAGCTCACGTCCAACTAGTGTTTTACAAACCAGGCCATCTCACATCTTAGATAAAAAAGGTATTACATATTATTATAATCTGCAGAAAAAACACCTAGCAATGCTCAGTCATCCACATAGAAATAAACATCATCCGCCACCATCATCAGGTCAACTCCAGACCATAGTGTTTAAAATTTTTATTGGAAAATGCAATACATGCATTTATCGCCTCTACAATTTCCGAAAGATTAACTCTGTTCCTTAGAATTCCAACATTCGATTCTGACCTGGTGAAATTGGAACCCTTAGGAGTATATCCATCCGAACATCATCATTTTGAAAATCGGTTCACAATTGGCGAAGTACAATAAATAAAAGAATTTCTTTTTGTTCTTATCTTTTTTGGAATTCGATATAAATCTATTCTCATTCTGTATCTTGTCTTTTATAGGTAAGGAGGGAACACCTATAAATATCAAAGCAAACTATTTCACTGTGGAGACAACACCAAAATGGTGTTTATACCAGTACCATGTAGATTTTTCACCAGATGAAGACAGTACTGCCGTTCGGAAGGCACTAATGCGCATCCACGCCAAAACATTTGGCGGGTAAATTATTATTTTGTCTTATTTTTATCATATAATTATGAATAAATTATGAATTTTAAAGTTGACATTTATTTTAAACAGGTACTTATTTGATGGATCGGTTTTATACACCGTCAAAAGATTACATCCAGACCCATTGGAACTTGTTTCTATCAGAAGTAATGATGAACAAAGGGTGCGGATTTTGATCAAGGTAAGGATTTAAAAAGATTTGTACAACATCATACCTTTTAATTGCCGAAAGGGTAGATGATGATGGAGGTGCAGTGTGTGTCAGTGTGTGTCAGTTTACCGCGGCAGAACTACTCATTCGCACGAAAAATCTAAAAAAACCGAATTCCACGCGAGCGGATAGGTATTTGTTTGTTTGCCTGTCTTAACACGTTACACGCCATGGGGGTCACCGGTGACCGGCGTTAGCGGAGCATTTACCTTAACAGTTTATTATTGGCAGTCAAAGTCTTGAACGGCAAAACGGAGGTACTAATTAACGTAATTTTTTACTGAAGGTAGTTGAAGGGATGGATAGTCACATAAGCTACTTTTTATAGCCTAGTTAAAGTTAGTATTTACCTACATAACTTGAAATAGAGATTTAAATCTGGAATACTCAAATTCTTAGCTGTTTGGTTTATGGTCCTTTGAGATTTATATAAAATCATTGAATGAAACAAATATTGGTATTTTAGATTTAAAATCTGTTCAATCTATCTTATATCTGCGACTTCGTACGCGCTACCTCGTTTTTCCCGTTCCCGTAGGATTTTCGGCAAATCCTTGGATAAAACACACCCTATATCCGTATCCTGATTATAAGCCTAGCTTCACTGACGGACGGACGATTAAATTTTTAATGATTTTCGGCGTACCGAAATAAGCTCACACTTATTACATGAGTCTAGCATAAAAAAAAAAATCTATTGTGTGCACACGAAACTTACACAAAACTGTTTTAAGCTTTATGCACACAGTGTCAACATGCGTCCGCCAGTTAGCGTTACTGTCCACCCACATCCCCAGATATTTAAATGTTTTAACATACTCTATATTTTGACAAACACAACGAATATTATTTGCATGCAAGCATTCATATGTATACTTATAACTGTATACTTATGACTAAACTATTAATTCTTTTTGCTACTAAATTGTGAGGTGAATGTATGTGTATTATTTTACTTTCGTTTACGTTCAGGATGATTTCATTATCATGCACCCATTTGGTGATGTTAATAAAATGAAATCCTCCTGAATTACGGCTCTAGCTTCGTGTATATTTTTAGAGGAATATAGTAAGCACATATCATCAGCGTACACATAAACTTGACATTTTTTAACTACATTTGCAACGCTGTTCACGTACATGACCAATGGCGATGACGCCAACTGGCCCGAACACGGATCCGGTCGACATGCCCAGAGCAACCCCAGCTTCCCGTCCTGTGGTACCCGTTATGCTAGTCTGAATAGTTTTTTCACTTATGTATGTGCGGAACCAGATATTAGTGGGTCCCCTAATTCTACAATCATCCATTGCCCGGAGGAGCACCTCATGGTCGCATGGAGCAACGTATCGAATGCTTTTTTATAGTCTATAAAAAGAGCTAGAATTTGGTGACCCTGGTCCAGTCTGTCATTTATATATTCGGAGAACCCTGCCAATGCTGTTGCAGTACTGCGACCGCACCTGAAACCGTGCCGAGTATCTGAAACCAACGTGTGCTGTTCCAGGAACCCACTGATCTGACCTACGATAACATTTTCTACTATTTTATTACTTATTGATAGGATAGCAATTGGTCTATAGTTGGAATAATCAGTATGGGCTCCCTGTTTGAATATAGGTCTTATTAAGGCTTTCTTGAGTAGTCTAGAGTATTGCCCCCTGGACAAACACACGTGTTACAAATTTGCTTAATATTAATGATTTCTTGAGTAAATGTATCTGCAAACTTATAACATACATTATACATTGTATCACTATTAGTAAGGATAAGGATTAATTCTCTAATTTCTCAATTTAATTCCAGTTGACTTGTGACGTCGCCCCTGGTGATTATCACTACATTCAGATCTTCAACATCATAATAAGGAAATGCTTTCAAATTCTGAATTTGCAGTTGATGGGCCGCGACTATTTCGACGCGGAAGCAAAGGTATGATTATTTGAAATTGAGATTTAAGTCAAACATGTATCAAAAATTAATTGCTTTTAATTAATTTTAGATTGAAATACCTGAATATCGGCTACAGATTTGGCCAGGCTATAAAACAACTATTAATCAATATGAAGATCGTTTGCTAATGATAACTGAAATAACGCATAAAGTAAGTATATATTGGTGTGTATTTACTAAACGGTTTTTTTGAGCTTGCCCTATTTGCTCGTTTGGGTCAAATAAATGTAATTTTACCACCTTCCTGACGATCAATCTGATACTTGGTGCATTCTTAGTCTTAATGACCATACAATATTGTAATATTTTTTTCGTAACTACATAGATAGTTCCATTATGAGTATCAGAGGCCTTAGTACGAGTTTGATTTACCTACGTTTAAAGTATTCGAAACGGGACCGCGTTCGGCACTCTGATTGGCCGGCTCCTATGAACCAACCAATCAGAGTGTCGAACGCATACTCGTTTCGATTACTTTAAACGTAAAACAAACTCGTACTAAGGCCTCAGACGAACGAGTTTGACTGGTAGAATTGAGCTTATTAAAATCATTTGACATTTTCAATAGGTTTTTTACGCAGTTATCTCTTGAATATCCTTTTTTTAAGGTTTTGCGGGTAGATACCGTCCTACATATGTTAAATGAATATGCTGATACGAAAGGAGCCAATTTTAGAAAAATATTCCTGGAAGATGTGGTGGGTAAGTGCAAATAAAATAATTTACCTTAACTCCTAGCAAAATTGTTAATGAATCGATGGCATAGTTCTAGACTGGAGTTAAGAAGTAATCTTTGATTACAGCTACGATAACCTTGTGAAATTTAGATCAAGTTTATACCCTTTGTCGTTTTGTGAAATTTATGAAGCAGATAATCCTAATATAGCGTATGATGCCTTTATAGAAACATTCCGACTGTTTTATGACTTGTGTTTTCCCGTAATTAACAAAAAAATTAAGTTAAAAAGGAAACCAAACTGGTTAACACCGGGGATAAAGCGTTGCAGCAAAAATAAAAGACAACTTCTTTGGCAACTAAGAGCGAAACCAAATTACAATAACTTAACGAAACTTAAAAGTTACACGCAAAGATTAAAAAAAATAATAAAACTAACACAAAAGGCAAGAAATAACCATAAGATAATGACCTCAACCAATAAATCCAAAGACACATGGAGGATCATTAATGAAAATAAATACTGCTCTCCCTATGAACACATAGCGGAAATACGAAGGAACGGGGATATAATAACCGATCCTAGTGATATCGCTAACGCATTTAACGATCACTTTGTGGAACAAGCAGAATTACTTTCGAAGGTCTCAAAATCTGCAAACTATGAAATCCCGCATACATGTTGCAAATCAATGTTCTTGGCTCCGACTACACCTGATGAAATACGTAGGCTAATAGACAATCTAAAAAATAAAGTTAGTGTAGGATATGATGACATCTCGACAAAAGGATTAAAATTTGTTTCCGATATAATATCTGGGCCCATTTGTCACATAATTAATGTTAGTATCTCATCTGGAATCTATCCTGATAAACTCAAACCAACTATAATTAAACCACTATTTAAGAAAAATGATAAAAATGATATAAATAATTATAGACCTATTGCCCTAATACCAATGATATCAAAAATATTTGAGAAAGCGATTCATCACCGTATGGATTCTTTTTTTACAAAACATAATCTATTAGTACAAGAACAAAAAGGTTTTAGAAAGAATACATCAATAAACATGGCTATCTACGATTTCCTTAATATCTTAATCACAAATATTGATAACAGAATCCCAATTAGTGCTATATTTATGGACATGACGAAAGCTTTTGACTTAGTTGATCATAATATTTTACTACAGAAACTAAATGCTTATGGAATAAGGGGCAAAGCATTTTCACTTATACAATCATATCTTGACAATAGAACGCAGTGTACGGAAATTAAACGAGTCTCAAAAAAAGGTAAAAAGGAACTTAAATATTTATCTAAAACACGTAAAGTCACTTATGGCGTGCCACAGGGTAGCGTACTGGGCCCGCTGTTATTTTTGGTTTACATAAATGACTTTCCAAAACACGTCACTTTTCCTATGGTTCTTTTTGCTGATGACAGCACAATAATTATTGAACAGAATAAAAATAGAAATTATGAACGTGACATTAAAGATTCTTTGCAACAATCAATTAATTGGCTTGATCAAAATAATTTACAATTAAATGTAAATAAGACTAAAATTATACAATTTAGACAAAGAACAACTACTTCTGACATAAATATATCTATTGACGATAAAAGAATTGAAGAAGTAGAGCATACAAGATTTTTGGGACTAACTATTGACTGTAAACTGACTTGGAAAGAACATGCATCAATTCTTATAAAAAAATTAAGTCGCTTTGCCTTTGCTCTATACAAACTCAAGAAAATAGTTAACCAGGCAGCAGTTGTTGCTGCATACTATGGTTATGTTGAATCCACATTAAGATATGGTGTAATTTTTTGGGGAAATTCCTCCGAGAAATGTACTATTTTTAAAGCACAGAAAAGGTGCATTAGGTCGATGTGTAGCTTGAAAGTAACGGACAGTTGTGAACCTCATTTTAAATCTCTTAGAATACTAACTTTACCCTGCCTTTACATATACGAAACTGCACTGTTCGTCAGAAAAAATAGTACTTTGTTTAAAAAAGCCTCTGAGGACCGTCATAGATCGACAAGATCAGAACGTCGACACGAATTATGTCTGAGAGCCTCAAAGACAGCCCTTAAGCACAAAAGTATCCTTTGCATGGCACCCAAAATATATAATAAAATCCCAAATACTATCAAGAATCTGAATTTAACACAATTTAAACGGAAACTTAACAATTTTCTAATTGATAAATGCTATTATACCATTGACGATTTCTTTCATGACAAAATGTAATAAACTGACAACTATGTGTATAATTAATTATGAAAACTTGGGTAACTTATTGTTTATTTAGTGCTTGTATTAATTTATTTTGTTGCAAAATTTTTGACATTTTTGCTATTGATTGTTTATTTAATGCCTGTTATAATTTATAATTTATATTGTGACTAATTTTTGACATTTTATTATTTATTTTTGTTACAATTTTGAATGTGATGAATATTTTTATACTTTAAATAGTGTATGCCTAATGGGCAGCTTTTTGCGCTACTATAATAATAATTTTAAGACCCTTTTGTATCACCAAAAAGCACACGAATAAATACTTTGACTTTGACTTTGACTTTGACTTTGAAACTGATACCTATTTTGAGGCTAAAGATTTTTAAAAAGGCGTATTTTTAAAATGGTGTCGGAAAAAATTGCGAACATTATTTTCGTTGTATCACCTTTGAAGGCAATAAAAATGAATAATAAGATCAAATTTTATAGAAAAAATGTGTCTGTTTATGTTAGCCTCCGTACTTTTCAGCCCACATATTACGAATTACGTGGTTGAAAGTTTGTATGGAACTTGCATTATTTTTGGACCAAAATATACTTCTGGTTATTTCACCCCTTTTATAATGTTGTGTATAGAGTTAATATAATTTTATGAATATTGAATTAAATTGTAAATACATAATAATATAATCAACTTATTCGAGAGCAAAATCGCAGGCAACAGCTAGTCATTTTGATTGTTTACATTTTTTTATTTATTACAGGTAAAATTGTTATGACTGTATATAACAAAAAAACATACAAAATTGATGACATAGCCTGGCAAACCACACCAAGATGTACATTTAAAATACGAGATGAGAATATTACGTATGTGGAATATTATAAAAAAGTAAGTTCATGAAATTTTACTCGCCGGCCGACCCGGCTTTGTATGCATTCCTATTGCCCTTATAGCTTACCTGCCAAACGTGGAAATTATAACATACCCTTCCTATATACAGGAGCCCCATAGTACAGCAATGGAGGATACCGTGTTTTGCTCATTATAAGCCCAGATTTCTTCACAATGTTTTCCATCACCGTATTAGTCCTAGAAAGTACTTTCTAAACATCTAACATAGATCGTCATTAAACTGTCAAACACCAAGCGGTCACCGGTGACCGCAACCTATTGTTCTATAATTGTGTCTACAAAATCGGTACTCGACGAGTTAAAGTCACATTGGTAGGTGCTTACCAGGTTTTGAACCCATACTTTCACCATGCATGAGAAGCATGTTCGTGAAGCTCCATTTAAGTATAGGTATAATATACCTACATATTATAATATGGCTTTTATTTTTCAGAAATATAATATAACTATCCGTGACCTCCAGCAGCCTTTGCTTATATCCAGATCCAAGCCACGTGACATTCGCGCTGGGATGCCTGAACTCGTGTATCTAGTGCCCGAACTGTGCCAGCAAACTGGATTGACTGATGAAATGAGAAATAACTTCAAATTAATGAAAGCCCTTGATACTTACACTAAAGTCGGCCCTGACGTTCGTATACAAAAACTATTACGATTTAACAAAAGATTAACCCAAAGCCCCGAGGTCGTCAAGGTGTGTATGTCATAACTTCACTTTTGTTCCTTGACTAGACTAAGAAGTTGTGTACATAATTAAACTGAACCCTCACTTAAACCAAGAGTTTAAAATCAGAAAACAATGTTCCCCCCCACCTCTGGGATCTAATCCAAAATTGCTATATGAGGATTAAACTGTCAAACACCAAGCGGTCACCGGTGACCGCAACCTATTGTTCTATAATTGTGTCTATAATAACGGTACTTGACGAGTTAATGATATTAATATTTACAATTACAGGAAATGACCCAATGGTCACTTACTTTATCGAAAAATTTAGTGAACTTCAAAACGCGCCAACTACCTACCGAAACTATTATTCAAGGCGGTAACGTAAAGTACCTAGCTGGAGATACAGCAGACGGGTGGTCTCGTAGCATGCGGTGAAATAACAGTTCCCAATACCTTATATGAATATGAATACTTAGTATTTCGAGTATATTTTTACAACATGAGTATTTACATTTTATGACAGGTCAACACCTCTGCTGGCAATTGCTCAAATGCCATCATGGGTAGTGATAACTCCAGATAAACTGCGACGTGAGACTGATGGCTTCGTAGAACTAATTTTAAAAACAGCGTTGTCTGTTGGCGTACGTATGCCTAGGCCGGAATTCAGTAAGTTTAGGTTCTTTAGATGTAGTTCACTACAGACACGTAGTATGCCACTGCTTAATATTTTTTTTTTTTTTAGTGTTTATTACATATGACACTGCGATAGAATATGCCAACATGTGCGAGACCGCTATAGCTCGCAAAAATCCAGCGATGATATTATGTGTCTTAACGCGTAAAGTTGCAGACCGGTAAGTATATACATATAACCTACCTATATTTTATTCGTAACTAACGGCGCGCCCCAGCTTCGCCCACTATTTTCCCGGTGAATGTGTCGAACTTTTCTTTTATACATTTCTTGTGCTAATAATAGCCCGATCAAAATAGACATTGGTGACCTTGAGTCCACCATTAGAAATAGTTTCAAAAGGCACCATCGATCCCATGTTTACGTCAAAAGTCTTCTGGATTTTTGAAAAGTACTTCAGACCGAAGTGAAATAGATATAATTATGATGAGTACAAAAAAGTATTTAATGATTTTTATTTTGAATTTTTTTAGATGTTGCGATTCTAAGAATTGCGTTCTGTAATATAATATCCTAACATTTCCACGACACCTGTAAGTGAATGAATGCACAACTGAGACGTATGCATACATGCGATCGATGGCACTTTATCCCGCTTTATCATTTTAAAATGCCTTTTTTGACCAGGACTAATATGAACACGACAAAAGAATATTTATAAAATTTGGTCGAGTAATTTGAGAAACACGATTAGATATGTACCTAATGTTTTTCAACTAAATGATTTGTAATAATTAAGCAGACAGTATTCGCTATTTCTATAGCCACTTGAATCAAATACGTCCTTATTTTAGTTAATAAACTATATATATATATGTATCTCTCTCTCTCTCTCTCTCTCTCTCTCTCTCTCTCTCTCTCTCTCTACTTCTTAGTATATATATATATATATACATATCTATATATATAAAAGAAAGTCGTGTTAGTTACACCACTTATAACTCAAAACTCAAGAAAGGCAGCTATTTATAATTAAGAACAACTGAAGCTAATATTTATTACAAATATACTTTCCACTTTCAGCTATGAAGCAATTAAAAAGAAATGCTCGGTGGACCGTGCTGTTCCTACTCAAGTAGTGTGTGCTCGTAACATGACAGCCAACTCCGCTATATCGATTGCTACTAAAATAGCGATTCAAATTAATTGCAAGGTAATTCTATAAATACGGGGTATTCATATTATTTGATAATTATAATTTTGCACCTACCGCTTTAACATTCTGCACTACACAATGGTCGACCGACAGAAAATGCCTACGGCATTAAGTCCGCCAATTTCACTGTATGTGCAATAAAGTTTAATAAATAATAAGAATTTTAAAAGAACTTTATACATCAGAAACCGATTACTATACTAAGGGCATTAGTACCGGTAAGGATTGCGTTTGCATTGGTCAAAAATGAAGCGTCAGAGCTATACCTACATACATATTTAATTTATATCTAAGTAACTGCTTCCTATAACACATTCTTCAAAAAAGCGAGTATACTAATATTGCCTTCACTTGTAACTCTACGTATTCCTGTCAGGACAAGTTATATATGTAATAGCTTAAATGATTTGGCCTGGCTGAAAGATAACGATTTCCGAGATATTGTGGATTTTGTGTTTTTTTTATAAATATCTAATTTTGTTCGTTTACGGTGAAATAACAGAACTTAGTATGCGATCAAACTTATTTTTTTTAGTATAATTAAAAAACTAAAACAAAAAAAGTAAAACTAAAAAACTCGTAACAACGAGTACCGTACCGATTCCGTGCCGGCCGTGTTAATTTGTCTTAATAATTCAGCTACTTGGGGGTAACTGAACAGAATTTCATGTATGCATTTAAGATGTGTACGATGTACCAACCAATGATTCTCAATAAAGATACTGAAATTAAACATATTCTGGTCTCACTTACAGCTCGGTGGTGCGCCGTGGAGGGTAGATGTACCTCTTCGTAACTTTCAAGTAATAGGCTATGATGTATGTCACGACACTCGCAGCAAAGAGAAAAGTTTTGGCGGGTTTGTCGCTTCACTTAATACTAGTTTGACACAGTTCTATTCTGCTGTCAACTCGCATAGTTCTGGAGAGGAATTGAGCAACTATATGAGCTTCAATATAGGCACAGCCGTAACGAAATATAAAATAAAAAACGGTTAGTTTTTTTAATACTACATATAATAATCTAAGTAAGGTTTTTATGATTTATTAGCTGAATCGGCTGAAAAAGTAATACCAGAATGAAGTAGCAACTAACATAACGTCTGGTAAGTGTGAATTGCGGATGCCAAAGTCATTTAACTTCGCCATAATTTTCAGGGAGGACTGTTCCTCACAAATGATACAGCAATCACATAATGCCCTATCGTGGCCAGCAACGCATGTGTGCTTTAGGTTTTTTTATATTAGATGGGACTAACGTTTGACCACTATCTCACCTGGTGGTAAGCGATGATGTGGCCTGCGATGGAGCACGTCGACCCATAAGCAACCTATTCACGCGGGCCTTGAAGACACCCAGGTAATACCCTTCAGGAAATACAGGGTCTGGCAAATAATTCCACTCTCGCATACGCTATTAAGAGAAAGAGGCAAGGCGCCACCAGTATCGAGACGTGAAGACTGCGCAAATAGGTTTGCTTTTTCTATCGCAGTGTGAGTCAGCGTCCTGCTAGCACTCAGGAGGGGAGGAAGTGAAGGGCGACAAAAGTTCGATTCAACCGCCTTGGCCAGGGACCAAAAGCTTTACTTCCCGCTGGGTAAGAAGCTAGTTTCTTCCCTACACGGCCAATGTGGTTAAATCGAGCCATCCGTAATGCCTTTTTGCATGACTTTGCAACCCGATTAAAGGCTCTCTTCTTTTGATAAATGTCGCCAGCCCTACGGCGCCTGGCATCCGCCCATGCCAAGTATGCCTCCTGCTTTTGCGCTTCGGCACTTCCGCAGTCGGCATCGAACCAAGGACGGGTCCCACCGAAGGATGCCACGTCCGAGAATGGAATGTAGTATTCCATGCCCTGGCGCAGCATCCCCGTTACGTTTTCAGGCCAGGCCGCCAAGGATAGCAAAGAAAGATTGCATCCCATCCCAATCTGTCTGTCAGCGAGTAGCTCAGTTCAGTTGGAATTGGATTGGATCAGTTGTCAGCAGAAGGTCTAAGCAATTGGCAGTGTGTGTATCGATATCGGGTACCTTTGCCAGATTGGGTCAGGCCAAGCTTTAGCGCAAGCTTACGCATTTCCCTTCCAGTATGGTCGGTACACTTGTATGGGAACAACCACTTCTGATGATGGGCGTTAAAGTCCCCCAGTGACACCAACTGGGCCGAAGGATAAAGGTACAGATGTAACCAGCGTGAAATACTCATGACAGCAAAGAAATTGAGGCACTGGCGCTTTTTCTTTTTAATTTTTTGATGAATATTTTACATACATACATAATTTCACGCCTGTCTCCCATGGGGGTAGGCAGAGACTAAGGAACGCCAATTACTACGATTCTTACATACCTCTTTCGCTTCAATAACAGTCATCAATCTTTTCATGCATGCTCGTCGGTTAAGGGTACTTTTAATTTGGCCCTTTAATATATCGCCAATCTGGTCAGTATACTGGCAATTCATTTACCTTTAAAAGGAGCCCATTTTGTTGTTAAAGAAATATTTTTTTAGAAGTTGAAAACCATAAACACATTAACGAAAAAACAGAGTGGCCCTTATTTTATTCTGAATAGTATAATTTCTTTTACATGGTTTTGGGGTGTTCATTGTACAATGAAGCAAGTCCTATATAAATAAAATAATTAAAATGTTATAATTAAAAAAGGTTCCAATAACTTACAGGCACTTTACCGGATAGAATTTTCATATACCGTGATGGTGTAGGAGATGGACAAATTCCTTACGTGTTTACCCATGAGGTAAGTGAATTCAAGAAGATTATACTAATTCACTCTTCAGTGATATTTTTTTTATTTATTTATCTATTTATTTTGTCGCGGAGAACCTAACGGGTTACCGGGGCTCCGGCTCGAAGTGCAGGAGTAGGAACGGGTTGGTTTTTAGTCACTAAGAGTGACACTCCCTCTGTCCTCACCCAGGCGGGAGAAGGCATTCGATGATTTTCCCCCCCTTAAAAAAATCGCATTTATTTTAGGTTTCATAGGCCCATATCGAGTACTATAAACTAATATATTAAAAATATTGATTGTAGGTAGAGCAAGTAAAGAAGAAGTTAACTGAAATATATGGCGGTACATCATATAAGTTGATATTCATTGTAGTCTCCAAGCGTATCAACACGCGTATATTCTTGGATCGTGGACTTGGGGAAAATCCACGACCTGGCACTATCGTCGACGACGTTATTACTCTACCGGAGCGGTAAGAAGACTTAATATACACTTTAAAAACATCGCTAGTGGCTCCGTTTCTGGGCTCCTAAATTAACCTACATACTAGTAATGTAATGAATGTCCGCATCCGGTTTTTGCTTCTCAGTAGGAGCACGGAATCTGAAATGGAGAAGATTAATGTTTTTTACTGTAAGCCAGATTTTTTTTTCTTATCTTGAAAAATGGCTGAGATATTTACAATCAAAATGGGTGTTCTCCACATCCTCAGGACCTCACTAATCCTTACTATAATAATATAATATTTAATATTATAAATGGGAAAGTGAGTTCGTTTGTTTGTTTGTTCAGCTTTCACGCCGTAACTACTAAACCGATTGCTTTGAAATTTTGCAAACGTAAAGTTTGAAGTCCAGATTAAAACATAGGGTACTTTTTATTCGGAAAAATGTGATATTCCCGAGGGAAAACAAAAATATTAGTATAGATGGCGCTGTGTGTATTCGTATAGATGGCGTTGTATGCCATTTAAAACAATTCAACGAATTACCTAGAAAATTGGAAACTTCACGCTTTAATCTATAGCGCTTATTTGGTCTTCATTTTTTGTGCAATGTTTTCTTTCGGAGTTACTGTTTTATAATTATTTGCTATATTCCATACTGCCTTTCTTTTGTAATAGCGGTTTTGGGCTTTCTGGGTTTTATTATAATTCTAAGTCTTTTTGAATAGTCTTTAAACCTTTTTTTATCATTTGGATTTCCCGTCAGTCTTCTTCGTACTTCCATAATAATTGGCGTTTACGGTTCGAACATATACGTATACCTTTACTCAGCCACGTTGGCCTTTTTGCAATAGATATTTTTACACGCGTGTCAGGGAAACATAAATAGTAAAAGAGTCTGAATGAATTATAAAATGTATCAAATTTTTTCTGTTGGTCATTATTAGTGTAGCATTCGGTAAAACTGAGATTTTTAATACAATCTATAAAAAAACTATATATTTTCTTCGGAATAATCACGTGTAACTTTATACCAGTGAGTAATGTAGTAACTTTTCTTTACTGGGCAAGTCAATAATTGTGCGGTGTGGTCGGAGAGTGAAAGTTCCAGTAGGTACTTTTATTTTTGAATCTCTGATATTATATAAGCTTGTCCTTGCGGTATTTTGTCATTCCCTTTATGCGTAACAAGTTTATACATTTGCTAAGAACGTTGAGCTATCATGTGTGTAGGATAACTACTAGTAATAATTGTTATGTTTCCATCTAACTACCTCTATGTTTGTTAACTCAAAATAACTAACAAATCAGCGGTGGGCATGAAAGTCTTGTCAGAACTAAGGGTAGATGACTAATTTTTATTATAATGTCCGTCTGGTACATTATTTTAAAAAATTACATACGTGATACGTATTATTTATTTTTTTAAATAGCATAATATACTTTCGACGTTATATTGATTTCAATTAACGCGTGACTTCACTTCTAGGTACGTTTTATACGTAGAAATTAGGTATTTTCTCCCACTCTTAAACTTTGATTTGTTTAATCTAAGTATTGTTTTCTTATACGACAATATAAAAAAAGTTTATGTCTAATATTTATTAACCTAACTAACTGACTGTAGATTATTAATGTTCATACCCTGTCATCATCCCTATTAGACCCAATTTTAGAAACCGTGCTATTGTTGACTGTTTCGAATAATCTTATACATAATACACATCCCCACACTCGCACTCGTTAACGACAGTGCGCCAATATCGCTTATACATTGATGCAGATACAAAAATAAAGATTAATTTAATAACCAACGAATGATTATCGTCTAATCATTCGTTGGTTACTGAACCAAGATATGGTAACAAAAGGTTCAGTTTTACTAAAACCATATAATTTGGTGTGACAATAACTGCTATACTTTTGTAAGAATAATAAATAAATACTGTCTTTATACTGAGTCAATATTTACTTCCGTGCCTGTATACTAAATAAATTACCTGACTGTACCGTCCATATTATTTTTACAGGTTTGATTTTTATTTAGTTTCACAAAATGTCCGGAATGGAACAATATCACCAACGTCGTACAATGTACTCATGGACACAGGAGGGTGGTGTATTGATTACGTAAATATTACTTTTGATTATTTCAATTTCTCTAAATTTTATCAATGCATATCACCAATTTAATTAATCACCGCCGAAATTTCATAATCTTCATAGGTCAAAAAAGTCAAAATCATTTCTTTCAATTAGGCCAGAATGACACTTTTGAACGTCAACAAAAAAGAATTAAAACTGAAGCTATTTGCTCATTATACCTCTTTTAAATATTTATATAAATCACCACTTAAATTACAAACGAAAATGCAGCACTAGTATATATTATTTATCACCATTTCAGATCCAACGGATGACGTACAAGTTGACCCACATGTACTTTAACTGCTCCGCACAAGTCCGTGTCCCAGCCGTGTGCCAGTACGCGCACAAGCTGGCGTTCTTGGCAGCGAACAGTCTCCACAACCAGCCACACTACGCACTTACGGAAACCCTGTACTTCCTGTAAAGTAAAATTACATTATAAAAATAATGTCAAACACAAAATTATTTTACATTGAGAATACATCTCCATATACTTTTACTTGCATTCAGTTTAGCAAAGTAGTTTTTTATGTTTGGTCTTGTTTTTATTTATTTATTAGTGTAAGCTGGTTGGCAGATCAACAATGTAATAAAATTGTTAAGATTATCTCAGTTAATTAGTTATGTGTTGTCATATAAGTTTTCTGTCTGACTTATCTCCTTAGTAATGTCATGGTTAACCGTGGTAACGCACAAAACTTCTTCTTTCCTATAACTAAGCTTTTAAAGAATTAGTTATAAGAGAGAGACAGAAGGGTCACTGGAATTAGTCTTAAGCTGACCTATTTAGCATTGCCACCAGCAATTTTGTATAAGTACTTCATGGTTGTTGTGAAATACTCCATACGTATCTTTATTTATGTATTTAACTTAAGTAACTTAATAATAAAAGTATTTTGCCATATTATAAAAATGTCATGAGTTGAACTCATGATGATTTAATAGGTATGTTACTTTACAAGTTTTACCGTAGTTCAGCGTATATATATAATATATATAATCGTTTATTATATATATAAAGCAAACCAAAGTAAATCCTTTGTTGTGATTATACTTACTGTGATTGGAAATTGAGCTTGGAGTAAGCGCCTGTTTCACCACCTTCTTATAAGTAGTTAGTTATAGTTTATACGAATTACGTCGTTACTCTGGCACATACAGGCTATCCGGACATTATGAAACCGGCCCTTATAGTTGTAACTTCGTATGTACCAAGTATCTACATGTAAATAAAATGTAGCATTCAACATACTAACTAACCACAACATACTTTTGTAAGTGTTACCAATCTGTGATTTGGAAAACTTGTCATTAAAGTAGAGAGTGCTAATATAGCACTATAATCTAAAATATTTGTAACTTATTTTTAATATATACATTTTTGCATGAAAATTGTTTTCTTTAAGTCGCCCTTTCACTTGTTACACTGTATCAAGAACCTGGTCTGTTATATTTTCATATACTATAGCTATACCTACTACTACTATAAACTGCAGGAACTCGCATTCAATTCAGTTACTCCTTGTATTGTTATTTCAATAAAGTAGGGACTTGACATACATCTAGATATAAAACTGAAAAAAGACAATGTCCAAAATGACAGGCAGAATATAAGTTAATAAATCCCCTATTTTATTACATAAGTTGCAAATACTTCTGTATCACGGACTAGCTGTATACCAAAATGTACCTACTTTTAATAGTATTTAATGCGATTAATAACACTAGATCGTTATCTTCGCCTAATGTGAAATGCCTTCGCCTAACGTAACAAACAAATTAATCAGCAACTGCAATGTCATGTCGTGTCGAAAGTAAATTGGGATGTCCAATCAATTATAATCGATCGATTGTGTTTTTTTTTTCTTTATAAATGCAGTCATAATCCAATTTAAATAGGTAGTAAGAATAATATTATATAGTAACCAAAACTTCTTTATTTCCATACAATCATTCAGACATTCAACATTCTTTCAAATATTATATTATATTCGTATAAATATATCTTTTCTGCAGCTATAAAAACAAGATCTTCTGAAGTTTACAAATAATAGAGAATACAATACATAATAAATTAAACGATACTCTTGTCTCCAGGGCCAACAATGTATGGAAGCAGAGCAATGTCATTTCTGGTAAAACCTAAAACCCAACTTTCCCCGATCTCGGGATCCCCGAAACCCGCGTTGCTCGGCAGTCATACAATGTTTATATTCAGCACGCATTTACTTAATTGTCCATTAGTCCATATCCCTGCCCTTACCATGGTGGTTGATGGTTCACCATGGTAACAAATTAACGGTGTGAAAAACGACTGAACTATCAACAGAGTTATCGTCTTCGATTTTCTTGTTCTTCGCACCTTAAAGTACCTACCGTATACCTAGTAGTACCGTTTACACTATACCTACGCCATACATTCATAAATCGTATGTACGAATACGAGTGTCTGTAAATTGGAAAATTGATTGTGATACGATAATAATTAGTAAGAACATATTACTATATGTAAACTGCCACAAGCTCTGTAGAAGTCGTAAACGATTTTTTTTTTTCGTTTTCTTTTTCTTTTTAGTACAACCCGACTGGAAAGTTCTAATCAAAACAGATTAATCAAGGCCAAATACATACCCAGCTCAGCTGCACTTCTTTATCATCAGACCCTAAATGCTGTCATTATTCCTGTCATGCTTCCTGCTTCATCTAGGTATAAAATTCTCATCAATACAAATTAATCAAGCCCTAACACAAGGTACTTAGTAACTTTAAACCGATTTCAGATTCGACCGTTTCAGATTCTGATGTATTGCTTAAAAATATTTATTGAAAGAAATAACAGACCTCGCTTCTACAATTTTCGAAAGTTCCCTCGGTTTCTCTAGGATTTCATTACTTACCAATGATTTCGTGAAAATGGTATCCGCTCGGGACTCTTTCGAACAAAAAAAGAATTTAAAACACACGAGAAATAAGCGAACAAACAAAAAACAGTCATTCAAACATTGTATCTCCTCCTTCTTTGAAGTCGGTAAAAATCGATGGTTGTGTTTACAGTTTCAAAAGTCCATAGCAACGCTGCAGTGACTGCGTGGTTCACCACAGCTTACCAACTTACAACATGGTGTGTACTTATGTGGTAAAGCATTGTTTATTTGTGATCTAACTGTTTGTGAACATGGAAGAAGACAAGGCTAGTGAAGACGCTGAAAATTGGAAAGTTTACGAAGCGCTGTGTAGTAAAAGTCCAACAGAGGTAAGTTTTCTTTTGTTTAAAGAGAATTTATCACAGAACTCATCAGTTTAAAAAATTGCATTTATGTATGTACCTTATCGTTGTGTAAATGTTGAAAAATTAAGGAATCCATACGATTCGAGGAATGCTTCTCTCTCTCTGGCTGCGTCGTCGGCTTCTCTGTGTGGTAATAACAAAACAAATACTTAGTACCTACTTTTAAGTACCTATACCTATTATGTGATGTGATACAGGTACTTATCGTAGGTAAATACTTTTACTAATTCATAAATACTATTACGACTTACCTACTACCTACATATTTTGGTACGTAGGCACTGTTAAGACCACAATCAGCCTACGTATCTCTGACGACTGGTTAGGCACTATTCAACATGATGAATCAGTTTGATGGGGCTTAAGTATTTAAATACACTGATATATATCGATTTTTTTTTTTTTTTTTTTTTTTAAATGCCTTGCACAACTTGCACTATAAAAGCCTTTTTGTAGGAATTGAAAATCTTCCTATGACTACTCCCTCTCTAGATACATAGCGTAGCGTTCGTAGGGTACGTCTCCTAGTTTTGTATAATAAATGTCTAATTTAACTATACCTACGTATTAACTGCTATTTTGAGGGGGGGGAGGGAACGATTAATTTAAATATGGATAAGTAAGTACATTTAAGTAAAATTAAAGACTCATCAGTTATCTGATAACACCCAATGATGCAAAGACTTTTAACATATAGATTTCCTTGAAACAGTACTAAATCGAGATCCTTTAAAAATAAAATGGAATGTCATCAATGTGATCATCGGTGGCCGCGGTTAATAGACTGAGCACGCTAAGTAATGCACCCTAAACTATAATGGCTCTTACTTACAAACAATAATGCCAAGTTTTCAGTACGCTAGTGTTAAATAAATGTTTAAAAGGACCCCATATAAAAACGTTTTTTTGCTCGATATTAAGAACAGGCTGTCATATGTGTAACTATATGTGAACCGTAATAGTTAGACAGTTGTTTGAATAAATAGATGATGTATTTCTGTTGCCTTTATTACAAAAAAACTAAAAATATACTTAAGGGTGCTTATGTACCTACCTAATTACCTATAGATACCTAAGTAACAGACCCATGTAAGTAACAGATGTAATTTTTTGCCGTCTTTTTCGATTTTAATTCCTAACTTTCAATTGTACCTCTAAATGACCGAAATAATGAAAACTATAAAATAAAATACATGAACGACTGGTAGATTACACGGTATATCATGGGCGAATCTGACTCGCACTACGGGAATTTCATTTTTCGTGGATGTGTTTAAAAACACAACATATTTACCAAGTACCTACACATAATGCTTGGTTAGACAACAATCTGTGAATCACACAAATTGTTGTTCCGTGCGGACATCGAACTCTCGACATGTAGCGCAGCAGCTCATCTACTGCGCCAACCAAGGGAATATAACCAGCAACATTCATATTTAATCCTACTCAAGGACTGAACTAAGTACCTACCTAATTTTAAGCATGTAGTTACCAACGTAGCACGCGAAATTGATAAAGCCTTGTCAAAAATATAAAACCACAACCTATCTAAGTCAAAAATATATATTATTGGGCTGAATGAAATGATGGATAAGTACAAGGGGAATTAGAAAAATGCTTACCTACTCAAGGGGTGGTAGCGTGCATTGTTCCGTACCTCGCACGGATTTCTCGTAGCACATAAACATAAGTATACCCACCGCATCATGTACCTAGTTATACGAAACTGAACGAGCAGGTCGTAGATTACAAGCTTCCCTTTCAGTAACATTTCCGGGTTCCTCGCCTAGCTGCTCAATACGTCGCGAAGTCGCTCCATTAGATGGCTGTGATGACATCGCAACTATATTACAATCCAACCAATTATCATGTCCATAAAAATCGTGATTTGGGCATTTGGGGTACCCTCCCCCACCGTTTATGTAAATTTCAAGCTGTGCATGTTAGTATCTACCTATATAGGTCGGCAAATAAGATATCGTGACTCTCGGTCGGTAAGTCTGAAACCTCGAGCCGTATCACGCTACATTTCAAGCAAGGAGCACTCAACTACACTAGTCGACTTTTGCTCGTCATGAAAAACTGACTTCTTTTACGGTAGTATACAAGATATACAGTATCGGTCATGGAGTTATGTAAGTGTTTCAAATTAAACCATTAATTTCGTGGTTTTGTTTTGCCCCCTGAATGTAAGTAAGTACAATAAAGTGGATTCCAATAATAAATAAATTAATTTCTTCAGATGGAGGCAGACGTTGGTAATGATATAATTACGAGTCTCAGAAGTGATCTTGCCGGGCTGCAGTACAAGCGAGATAAGCTTATATCTGAAGTGAGAACCAAGAAAATAATTTATTCGTCTATTTATCAAACTACAACCATTTTCTATTGTACCTACAAGTAATTTATCCGATATTTACAGAACAGTGACTTAAAAAACCAAATGTTATCTCGAGATCAGAGAATACTTGAGCAGCAAGTAGAGATCGATCACCTTCGTGAACAAAATGCACGCCAAAATGCTGTCATTTCATCTCTTAGAAAGAAAATCCAAGACCTCGAAGAGATACAACGAAACCTTCAGACGTCGCAAGGAAGAAGTGAAATCACAGTTCAAACACTGCAGAGAGATAACCGCTACTGTGAAGAAAAGATTAAAGACATGGAAAAGAAATTACGTTCTCTTGAACTAGAATGTCACAGTGAAGAACAACAAAAAGAAAATGCCCGTTGCCAGTTTCACGATCTAATTCGTCGTATGTCTGCCGCTTTGGAATCAGATTTTTGTGATACAGCACATACTCACTCTCCGGAAAGCTTAATAATTAAGGCGGCCGAGCTTGTCCAAGAAATTACCAGACTGAAAAATAAATGCATGAATACAACAGAAAATCTGTCAACAGTCGAACAGGACCTAAGAAGTTGTAGAGATGCATTGGAGAGATCAAACACGGACAAGGATATTCTACAACGACAACTATCAGCCCAACTGATGGATATCGAGAGACTTAAACAAGAAAAAGAGTCCCTTTGTGTACAAAACAGAGTTATTGAACGAGAACTTCACGAAGCAAGAGAAAAGCTATCACACTGTTCCAAAAACTTAAACGTTGTAACGGATAACGTGAACCAGAATGAATCGATTATTATTCAGTTGAAAGGTATCTTCAAACAGAGGCCTTAGTACGAATTTGATTTACGTTTCAAGTATTCGAAACGAGTACGCGTTCATCACTCTGATTGGTCGGCGCCAATGAACCAACCAATCAGAGCGCCGAACGCGTACTCGTTACAATTACTTTAAACGTAAAACAAACTCGTACTAAGGCCTCAGTTTAGATATGATGTATGTTTTAGTTTAATCAAGATATTTAATGTTACTTTGAAATTATTTTAGAGGATTTGAGGCATCGAGATGAAAAATATCAAAGACTACATGCGGAATTCCGCAATACAATGGAATCATTGGCTATCTTACTAAGTTTACCGACACGATTTGTTGAAGCACATGAAAGTACTATTAAAGACCGAATTCGTGAAATTTTAAGTGATAACAAAGATAAATCTGTAGTAAGTACCTACTACTGATAATGTTATTAAGGTTTTTTACTCTGTAATACCAACATAATATATATTCCTTATACTGTATATATATATATATATATATATATCTTAATATTATAGCAAATAGATGCACTGCGCGATAAGTTAAACATGGAGTCTCAGCAGTTAGGAAGGACAGCGCATTTACACGATCAAGCGACTACCCGCGTGCGCATCCTAGAAGATGAACGAAATATACTCGAAGCTAAATTACACAAGCTGGAAGCCGAGCTTAACGCACAGGAGCTCTCCAGGGACAATTTACGTAAAGACAAAGCCAATGTAAGTGGTGCACTGTGACTTAATGTTTGGTCATAGGTACTTGAGCCTTATCGACGCATTAATAAATCAATTCTTTTTTACAGTTTGTTGCCTTCCTAGAACGTTTAAGTCGAACACTAAATATGGATGAGCTAACCCAAGACATCGGGATAGAATTGCACACTGAATCGATTATCCACCGCGCCGAGCAGTTAGCGAGGCTTGAGAGTGATAAAATTGTTGATAAGGTCAGTCCCTTCTTACGTTTTTATAAAAAAAATAATTTATACATATTTTTGTATATAACCATCATAGTTACCTATGTATGTACTGTACATAAATTTGGGAGCCCAATACCTACTTAACTTATTACAGAAGGTATTTGAACACTTACTTACATGGTAATAATAAGGAGTTTTATCTTTTCTTTTAAGTCATCAGAGTTAAGGCTATCATATCAATAAACCTATTTTATTAGAGATATTAACACAACATATCTGATCGAACCGCCAAGGTACCTTAACAGTGAAACGAGTACAATGTCATTTTACCTTCACCTTTACCGAGTGCCAACTATCGGGGTACACACTTGTATGTTGCAACTTGTACAAAGCGTTTGTCACCATTCTATGTGTCTGTGTTAACTCATATATGTTTTGTGTAGATGCTATATTACGGATACTATGGTACGCTGCCCAGACTGCGCAGAGAAAGATCTTTCCATGACTTACCTTACCTTAAAGAAGTAAGACCTGCACGTTAAGAAGTAATATCAATGCTTACGAACCTATTTATTAATAGAACGCAGTCATACAGTAATTACAAATCAACGTTGGCAATGTTTATGTCCATCATTCTGCACAGTAAAGTAGCACCATTATTAATTTGAAACAAATGTTATTTGTCACGGTCTATCGAGTAAACACCTAACGACTACTCTTTAGGTTTTGGTAATTAGGTAGATGTTTCATTATTAATAAAATTGGTATAATCATTCAGGATCATCTTCACACGTAGGTAGGTACAGGTGTCATGCATATTGGAATCATAATCACATTTAACTAAGTATTTTTGAATTTAAAATGTAATGAAATAAGTGAAAGCTCGCAATTGAATAGTATTTTATTATATACTAGCTGTGCCCGCGACTTCGTTCGCGTAGAATAGTGACTATGAGCAGCGTTTTTTTTTTAAATATATACTTATTTTTATTTTAGATTTGGATCATAATCACAGTCATTTTGGGTAGCTAAAAAACCTACTTTACTGTAATGCTTCTCTATATACAATATTAGACGTATGGCCATCGGGGGTGAAAGCATACAGGCTGCTGGGATTGCTAACACGGGACAGAGCCACATACAATTGACCGTGCAAAAAACAGCTGATACTTAGATCTATACCCACAACTTTTAGAGTCTGACCTTGAGCTTTATTAATTGTCATGGCGAAACATAGGCTCACTGGAAACTGAATTCGTTTAAAATTAAACGGAAAATTTTTTGGAATGAGAGGAATCTGAGGAATAAAACCACTATCACCTTTTCCGCACCCTGTTAAATATATATATATTTATAAGCCATTTCTGAGATTAGCGTGAACAGACAAACAGACAAACAGACAAAAAAAAAGTTAGTTACATTTTTGGGTTCGACATCGACATAACAATAGCCCCTGCTATTTTTTTTATTTTTATTTTCAATGTACAGACAGCACTTTTCTACAATTTTATTATATGTATAGATAGATAGATAGATAGTGTTCGACGTGATTCTTTAATTTGACGTAACTTTTTTATTTATGAACCGATTGACATGAAACAAACACTAAAGCATAACTGAAGCATACCACAATATATTCGTGAAAACCGCATCCAACTCGGATAAGCCGTTTCTGAGATTAGCGTGAACAGACAAACAGACAAACAGACAAAAAAAAAGTTAGTTACATTTTTGGGTTCGACATCGACATAACAATAGCCCCTGCTATTTTTTTTATTTTTATTTTCAATGTACAGACAGCACTTTTCTACAATTTTATTATATGTATAGATAGATAGATAGATAGAGTTCGACGTGATTCTTTAATTTGACGTAACTTTTTTATTTATGAACCGATTGACATGAAACAAACACTAAAGCATAACTGAAGCATACCACAATATATTCGTGAAAACCGCATCCAACTCGGATAAGCCGTTTCTGAGATTAGCGTGAACAGACAAACAGACAAACAGACAAAAAAAAAGTTAGTTACATTTTTGGGTTCGACATCGACATAACAATAGCCCCTGCTATTTTTTTTATTTTTATTTTCAATGTACAGACAGCACTTTTCTACAATTTTATTATATGTATAGATAGATAGATAGATAGTGTTCGACGTGATTCTTTAATTTGACGTAACTTTTTTATTTATGAACCGATTGACATGAAACAAACACTAAAGCATAACTGAAGCATACCACAATATATTCGTGAAAACCGCATCCAACTCGGATAAGCCGTTTCTGAGATTAGCGTGAACAGACAAACAGACAAACAGACAAAAAAAAAGTTAGTTACATTTTTGGGTTCGACATCGACATAACAATAGCCCCTGCTATTTTTTTTATTTTTATTTTCAATGTACAGACAGCACTTTTCTACAATTTTATTATATGTATAGATAGATAGATAGATAGTGTTCGACGTGATTCTTTAATTTGACGTAACTTTTTTATTTATGAACCGATTGACATGAAACAAACACTAAAGCATAACTGAAGCATACCACAATATATTCGTGAAAACCGCATCCAACTCGGATAAGCCGTTTCTGAGATTAGCGTGAACAGACAAACAGACAAACAGACAAAAAAAAAGTTAGTTACATTTTTGGGTTCGACATCGACATAACAATAGCCCCTGCTATTTTTTTTATTTTTATTTTCAATGTACAGACAGCACTTTTCTACAATTTTATTATATGTATAGATAAATCTAAGCGACATTGTGAGTATTGTTGCTGGTAGGCACTTAGTGCATGTTTAGAACTTTTTACAACAATAAGTATAATAAGAAGCAACCTTAACCGAAGCACACGCGATGTCGCCTGCATCGATATGTTTTACAAACAAACGCAAAACAGTCACGCGTATACCTACTTTGCATGATGTCAACGCGACTTATCGACCAACTTCTAACATTTAGCATCGTGGTTTCCATATTACAGACAGCTGTTGTTTATCAGTTACAACGACGAATTCGAATTTTAAGAGAACAACTACAGAGGAAAGACTTGCACCTAGATTTGTTGCGACGAAAACTAAGTGTGCAGGTGAGTTATTCTACTAATATTTGATTAATTTAAATTTTTGTAGCACAGTAAATTTCCTATTGAATGTTGTCAGGATGAGAGCTGTCGAGTGCGAGCAGTGTTGCAGGCAGAGCGCGATGAAGCTGTAGCTCGCAACAAGAAGCTCGCACGCCAATGCGACAAGCTACAAGTGCAGCTTAGTGACGCGCGTGCGCAAATTCGCGACCTCAACGCACAACTTGTAGATGCCGCTGAGTACAAGGTGGGTAAAAGAAATAAAGCATCAAGTATTTATGTACTTGACAGTTGATACTTATCAACTTTCCCAAAGATTTTAAATATTTTGCATACAATGTATGCTATAACTTTTTTGCATACAATAAGTATAATCTATAAGTTAGGCGAACTATCTAATATCTGGTGAAGCCAAAATGAGTCAAATGAAGTGGAAGAGCACGGTGGACTGTACCTTACCCACATTTTCTTGAAGCGCTGCGTCATATTTTTAGAACTTGAGATAAAGAAATGATATTCGTCGTATGTAAACAAACTTAACAACATTGAGAAAGTTAAAAAGAAATTAGTAATTTTTTTCCTGTAGCCGACTTGCCAGTTGAGCTCACTGTTTGCGAGAGATTAATAACTCTGAAAACTTCGAACTAGACGCTACGAACTTTGAACTACGCCCTACGGACCTCGTGCAACGAGCTACGCACTACGAGAGTATGAACTACGTGCTACGGACTATGACTATCGTATTTGGCCGCAACTTACAGATTTAGAGTTGGACATGTAGATTTAGATACTTGACTTGTTAAGTATATGTATATGGTTTCGTTTTGGCAACATTTTACATGCAAAATTTGTATGTATTGTTCAATAAAATAAGCTATTCTTGAAAATATCTTTATTTAATATAATTTTAACCGCAGATAACATCACTAGAGAGAACTCGCAAGGTAGAAGAGCTGCAAAAGAAGTTGGAGGAGGCGGAACTACTGCGCGTGCGTTACAACCGTAAAGTGAACGTGTTGAAGGAACAGGTGCGCTCCACGGGCGAGACCTTCGAACAGGAGCGCTCGTCCATCGACCACCAGATCACCATTCTGCGGGACGACCTCGCGCGCACCAAGGAGGCGCTCGCCGAGAGCCAGCGCAGGGAAGCTCAGCTCACCAGCTTCAGGTTAGTATAGTACCAAACAAACCAGACATTTTATTCGATACTTATATCTTCCTTCTACCCAGAACACGTTAAAGACCTCAACAAAACGAACAAACCAATAAAGGTCAGAAAATTTTGAAAACGTTGCTGCTTGTCCTTTAGACCTTCCGTCCACGAGGCATCATTTAACGCATGCATGCAACCTACATTTGACAATAGACGGCTTACAAACGACAAATGCTTGCATCTTACTTTACATGCATTCATCAAATAACGCATCAGTGCATACCCCTAGGTCCAATACTAATTGATAATTTACCCAACTGTTTCAGAAACTCGATAGCCAAATTGCTAGGTATCCTGGTGCCGGTGTCTGTGTCTGACTTCGAGATGGTGTCCCGCCTACAAAAGCTCATCGACGCGCACCACGACTTCACGGTGGTGTCGCGGCGATACGACGACCCCACTCTGCTGCGAGCCTCCTCTCGCTCCCCGCCGCCCTCACGTTGCAGGACCAGAACGCCCGACAGGTTAGTCTTTTATAACCAAGACTTGATGTCCCTATCTATAAAGATTTTGAATTAAGTAATGTCCAGAAGACCGGGTATGGAGTAGGTACTCTTAACAAGTGTGATTGTATGTGCAAATGCGTGCAATGTATTGAAGTTTGTAGCGTAAAGAACGTAATGGTTAACACTCACTAGTTTTTACCTACACTTATCGGACACGGCCTGCGTGTATGTTTTGATGTAATTGAAATATTTTTTATTTGAAATGACTCTTTTATTTCTGCATATGTTGCACTGCACATGCACTCTGAGAAGAAATGTCGAAAGAAACTCAGAGGTTCATAGTCTCTTTAACATTCCGACAAAGAATAATATGAGTGAACCGCGCAAGTTGAATTTATAGTGGTCTTTTGACGAAATGACCACAACAGTTTGAGCGAAGGATTCTGATGGCAAAATATGATGTACCGGTTTACAACCAGCTAATTAACGCTGTGAATTTCTTTGTATCGCTAAATTAAACTAAATGGCCTCGCCCTCAGCAAGGCATCTGTATTGAATAAGATCACTACCATGACGAAAAATGTTTGCAGATCACTTCGCTACGATGACTCAGGGTATGCAGATCCTGCCTTCGAACTCGACGATGAGATTTACAAAGCTCGTGCAGGATTGTGACACGCAAGACGCCGCGCTCGTTTTTAAAACTGAACCGCCCAACTATAGACAACGCGGCGTAATATTGAACAATAACCTGACGGAAAGTAAAAATATTATACTCCAGTAACAAACTATTATGTACCAACAACCTATACCTATATAAAAAAAACGTCATTACGTTTGGTCAACGTACCCAGCAACGCAACCTGTATCTTATTAATTGACTTCAAAGTAACTATGAAAGTCGTACATTTCGGTAGACATGGCCATTGTGTTTTCCGGTTTATGTCATGTCATTAAAACAAACACCGTCTACTGACCTGACCTCTTAACGTGTAAAGTATTTAGAACGCAAAATTGATTAGAAGTATCTTTCAAAATTCTTCTGAAGCACCACACTTTGTGCTATTGAGACTAATCGCATCACATGTGTTGTGAAATGAATGGTCAGCCTTACTGCCAGTTACTGCCTAGTGTAGTGTCATAAAGACACACTTTACGTTCCCAAGTCGAGGATGACCAATGTAACGATATATTAGTGGTTTATGTATCTGCCTATCTACTATTTACCTACTGCATGGATTTGCAGCGCTTGACACTAACAAGATCCATGACCCATGACGTAGTAAACTAGGATATAAGTAGAGGTAGATACACATAATACGGGTCATATGCAAAAAAAATATCAAAAACAGTTATATAAAAAAATTAATCCACAAAATAATATTTGCATAATGTAAGTACCTGCCTATGTAAGAAACAAAAAACGCAATATTCTAATAGGTGAAATACAAAAAAAAAATATAATTATGCATGCATTTCGACATCAAGTAGATAGGTCATAAAAACTCATGATCTCAAAATATTCGTGTGACGCAATAACGTAAACTTATAACGTACGTGTCATATGTTAATACCTACTCGTTAATTTAATGTTACTTAGATGAATGTTACATTAAGTAGTCCCCAATATAATTGTATCTACGAGGAAGTGTGTGTGATCAATTCTAAACATTTTCGGATACTCACTAGATGATAGGTATTCTGATATTATAAACTTACTCATACATATAAGTACTTTTTTTATGTAGTGACATTTTTATTGAATTAATGTTTTCTACTACATTTTTAGTTGAAAGTCTTCCATTACTCTTTGTTAGCAATGAGTTCAATAGTTAAGTTTTTATTTATTAAATGTTTTCTTCTAGAAATGTATTCTGTTAGCAGTTACTTTTAATGTTACTGTGTTTTATTGTTTGCACTTTGTAATATGTGTGGATGTAACTATATTCTATTTACATATATAACATCACGCCTTTTTATCCCCGAAGGGGTAGGCAGAGGTGCACATTTCGGCACTTAATGCCACTGTACAATG